ATTTCTCATCCAGAAGACTAAAAACGTGATCTGACCAAGGTATTAAAATCATAAAAAGTTAAGGTGCTCAGTGGAATTGTTCAGAAGAAATAATAAAACGCGAACCGGATGCCACAAGTAGAAACCTAAGTGAAAGTGCATTTAAAGATAAGAACAGGAGACCCTTCTTTACACGAAGGGTGGTAGGAGTTTGTAACAAGGTGCCCTGGCGTGTAGGTGAAGGCACAACATTGGCTCCTTTCAAGAAATAGGTGGATGAGGTAATGGGATCAATTATTACCGAACGGGATAGAGGGTCTGATGTCTTCTCGTTCATAAGTTTTATGTAGATTGTGCGCGAGTCGATGATTCGTAGGCAGGGAGGAAAACTCTGACTTTGACAGATTAGATTCTTGTGACGTTTGTTGTAGTTGTGTAGGCTGAGGTAGCACTATTTTCCAGGAAAAATACTTCATTCTCTGTCATGATGACAATGATGCACAGCTCCAATGACGTCATTCGTGATCACATTTTGTTAAGAAAATGACACTCCTATGTAGTTTGTGCATGATAATGGAGTGCACCTTTGTCCGAATTGCGATGTGACGTATCCCATTACATTTATAAATCATACATCTTCATTCGCTTTTCCTGATGTTTTCAAACGAACCCGATAATATCGTAGAAGTCGGATTTAAAATGCAGAACAATAAATGCTCGACTTCTGTATTGCACTCGCACACATCAGACCCGTAATTTTAATAAATAACACATAATTGTAGTACATCTTATTTATATAGTTTCAATGATACGGAAACTATTTATTGAACCACAAGTACTCATTTTAAATGACAGAACTACACTTGACCACAAGACTCCTTAACATTGTCCCCGTCAGTGACAGTAACGTCATTTAGGGAGGTTTATCTTCTAAGTCCGAGAGCAATCTTTAAGCAAATAACAAGGATTTCAGTGGCAACACGGAGATATTGCTGAAAGGTTCCAAAAGTGCAGCGTGTAACCTACCCCATGCAAATTCACATTAACTGAGCTGGAGCTCCCGGCCGCTCTACGTCAATGGAAGCAGCTGAGAGTCACGTGACGAGATGTTGCCAACATGGCGGCGCAGTGCTGAGGTAGCAGCTCCGTACACCTTCACTCTCCTTGTGGAGTTTTAATTCATGCCGTTTAACCGTCTCGGAGCGTGGGATTCCGTTGGCAATGGCGATCTGAAGCACGGAAAGCAATGCAACAGAAGGAGGAAAGCAGCAAAACCAAGAGCATGTTTTTGTCCCGGGCTTTAGAGAAAATCCTCTCCGATAAGGAGGTGAAGCGAGCTCAGCACAGTCAGCTAAGGAAAGCCTGTCAGGTAGCACTAGGTAAATAACCATTAAGTTTATGAGTTTGTTTTATTTTTTTCTAATGCTTCTGAGCCATAACCGGTCTTGAATGAAGGTGTTAATAAAGATTTTCACATGGGGAGCGCATCCTGTGTGCTAAAGAAAGGGGTAAAAGCCGAGGGCCTATCCGGTTGTGGGTAGCTAAACTGCATCCAATTTTAAGAAGACTCGTTTTAAAGGACTGGAATCTTTTCAGATGAGCATCTGATGAAAGCTTGATTATGACTTGAAATCAAAACGTGTTTACATCGATACTTACACTTAGTGTCTTTGTAATAAACTCTATTAAAACGAGAGTTTACAACTCTCCTGAACGAAACTGACAGCGAATAGATTATTTAGGGAGTTTAGTTGACTCGTATAAGATGACGAGTTAAAATGGGGTTGGTTATTCAGCAATCGCCGTGTCTCGAGTGGCCATTTCATTTGTTGGATCTCCGGTGGCAGGCAGGTAACTGATTCTTCAGCCGTGAACTGTATCCGAGTCATTAATTCTTTATGGCGCTGGTGAAACGTGGCGCTTCCTATTATTAACCGAAGGGATGGCGTGTTTATGACAATCGTGTAGGCGGAAAATTACGTTGCAGTCCGTGCATTCCTGTAAACACAACCTACTGAATGAACTTATCCGCTGGGGCCTCGAACGCGGTGTATTGGGAGTTAAGGTGTTTGGAATTCCAGTTTCACATCACAGCACATCAGTGACTCCACTTCCTTCTCCGTAGGAGGCGAGGCCGACTCTCACAGTACAGGTGTACTCGCTCAAAAGGTGAGACGAGGCAGTACTGTGATTGACAGCTGAGCTTTGAGCTTCTTCTGCAGTGCCGAGAGACTTTTACACGCCTCCTCCAGCAATCTGCACACGAGCACGGATGCTAACCGTCATGTATTCCCTTCCCAGGAAATTTGATCTTTTATATGTTGTTACATTAAAAGAAAAAAAACAGACGACAGCTTTCGTGCTGTTACCCATTGCTCTGTGTTTACATCTACGCGTTTGTAGTAGACATCGTGTAGGTTTTGTATCTGGCATTTAACCCAGTGAAATTACGCGGAAATAAACCATTGATTCGCAGCTATTTCGAAAATATGATGCGTAATACTTCTTAAAAATGAGAGCGAATTGTGGTCTGTAAATATCAAGGCATGGTTTTTGCTTCATTCTTTTTTTATTACTAAGATCTTGGAATTCTTGCGTGTTTTCTGGTCACCCGTCTTTGCTGCTTTACTAGAACTTCAACCAGTTGTGTAGCTTTCGGATCTTAAAAGCTTGATGTCAGTTCTCACATTAGATGCCTCCAAATTACATTGGCGACTAAGCTGCAATGGAGACCTGTCGTGCTCAAATTTAATTTTTTGATGTCAGCAAAGTGTGAAGTCTGAAAATTAACAAAATCCGCTGTTGCGTGAATCACCCCTGAATAGATTCCCGATAGAAACGCAAAAAGTAGTTTAATGTGAATTGTCCAGATTAATGCAGCTTGAAAGCAAAGTTTTTTCTTTGGTACTTGATGTAGATTGATTTTGTCTCACAAAGAAAAATTTAATGGAAAGAAGAATCATATTTCTAAATTATTACCATTTTTGGAAATCAGGAGCTAGGAGCTAAACATGTATAAGAATCATTGGTCATTTCATGGTTTTGCTATAGAAGCCTGCTTCATTCGTCATTGAAGCTGCTCATGTTTTAACAGACAGAAGCTAACAGAGCCAGACAACTATTGTGTAAATGTACTGAAATACTTCAGGAGTGCTCCTCAGGATTCAGTGCACAGGTTATGTATGAGATAAAGGTTTGTTCTTTGGGGTCTGACTCTGACGTTACTCTTTCCAATTTACCTGGGTAATTTAGATTCTGCTGTGGTTAATAAACAGGTCAGGCCCGCAGATGAAAGCAAAAGAGGGGATTATCAAGCCCTGAAGAGTAGAGGCAGCAGATGGAATTCTAAAAGGAAGAATTTTAAGGAAAGAAATGAAAGTATAAATTAAGCATTCTGTATATTAAAGCAGATGTCAAGTAAAAATAGATTTCAAGTGCATTGGATGAAAGCAGTGATGATTTTGTTCTCTCCTGCTGGTTTAATTTAGCTCTTAGTTTGTGCTTGCTTTTTCCATTTAAGACCTTAATAGTCTGATATCTCAACACGTCACTCCCCTCTTATCCCCTGTTGGTTCACTGCTTACTACTAAGTTGGTAATTTATCTCCAGTAAAGTAGGGCTGGGCCCCTGAGCAGCCAATAGCAAAGCAGGCTTGCTAGTGAGCTAAATACTTAAAACAGGAGATCCTTGTTTACGCAAAGGGTTGTGGGTTTCCACTGTCCGGCTGTGAGGTTGATGTCAATACCCTGACTTCTTTCAGCAAACAGCTGGGTGAGATGTGTAGATCAGTTGGCTACTAGCATCTGTGCAGGCTGGATGGCCAACGAGTGTTGCAATGATGCTCAGGTCATGAGAGGTGTGGGTTACATTAGGTGTATCCTGTCTACAATGTCTGTGTCAGTGTCCTGTCTGTCCTGCCTGTATTTGCATTGTGGACCAGGAGGAACGGTATTTCATTTCACTGTATACTTGTCTATGGCTGGAATGGCAAATAAACTTAAACTTGATTAGGTGTGTGGTTCCCTTATATAAAAAGGTCACCGTGTGTCCTCTTGTTTGAACAGCATGGTGGAAATAAGCAGTGAAATTGGTGTGGGGATGGGTGACCATGGGTGGTTATGGTGACATGGTCTTTACAGAGCCTCGCACCAAACCAGTCCTTCCAGTTTGTCTGTTCTGGCTGCTCTGTGGCTCTCGGACGAGTAGGAAGTGGCTTGCTGGTGTCGTTCACTTTTTGCACTATTCCAGTTCACCTGATAGTCTTCTGCTCTCAGCAGAGGAAAGGGAAAATTCAGATGACTAGAAACCGTCACTTCTGTCTGGTAATGTTCCTTTTCCCAAACATCATCCCCGAAACAGCATTCACTCCCTCACACCACGATAGTGTGCTAGTCAGTCTAATGTCCCAACTTCCAGTGACTTGGGTTTACAGTAATACCTTCCAGAAAATTAAATTGTGTTTTTTTTCCTGTGACGGTAGATAAAGAAAGGAACAAAGATGGGCAGAAGGAATGGTATCAAGGCAAAATGCCACCAGGGCCCTTCCCTGCGTGTACCTCTATTGCCACTGAATGAGATACCTGCAGTCTGTCAATTCCCGAATGTTTGTTTAATCAGACATAAAGAAGCAGTCATGAATTGGCCATCCATTTCAATCCTTCTGAAGTATTACTGAAGTATGGTGAATCAAGGGAGGGAATTTAGTTCCAACAAACATGTTCTGCAAAGAAAACATGTAGGATATGGTTTTAGTTCAACAACATTTTGAACTTTTCCTCCCCAGTGGAAAGCAGACATGCAGCAATATTTTTATAAAACTCCCAGAAGGCCTTGGGGGAGGGGAGGGGGCTGGACTTTAAGCTCTGCAGACCAGATCAAACGATTGATACTTAGTTGCTCAGATAAGTAATCAGGCCTTAGCAAATATAAAAGAACACACCACACACACATCACACACACAAGTCCAACTGTAATACTAGAAGTCAGTAAAGGAAAAGGTAAAGTCCAATGGGGAAAGACATGGCATTAAAAAGTCTGTCAGCACAGCGCAGTTATGATTTCCCATTAGTATTTCATTTATTATAGAAATGAGTGGAGCAAATCTGATTCTCATCTCAAGCCTGAGAGCTGGCAGATTGCTCTAATGTGGGTGTTATCCGAATCCAGGAAGTAAAAAAAACATTTTTTGTGTAACTTACAGGTCAGAATCAAAAAGGTTACTGTATACAATTATGTGAAGAGTTCCTTTACTCACTTGTCACCCTGAATTCGTTTTTTTTTTAATTATCTTACCTAACAGGGTGGCATGGTGTTGCAGTAGTTAGTTTCTGCCTGGGGGGCACTGGTTTCAATTCCCAGGGTGCTGTCTGTGTGGCGTTTTGTATGTTTTTCTCTTGTTTGTGTGGGTTTCCTCCCACACTCCAAAGTCATGCTGCTGGTGGGTTAATTGGCTTCTGAGAAAATTGGCCCTGGTGTGAGTGTGATTTTTGTTATTGAACCAAAGGGTCAGATTTTCGGTACTCTACTGCCTTTGTACAAAGAATGGTTGTTGGTTAGTTGCTTGCGCAAGATATTCAATGTGGATTTAAATCCATATATATATATATTTTAAATTAGACTGCTTTACTGAATACGATTAATTCCAGTCTCTTTGTGACGCTGATTGTGGTCATCAAAGCGAGGCTTTTAATTCTCCAAGCAGTGTCTGTGTAGGTCCTTCTGGGACACGTTTTGTGGTCCAAGAAAAGCTTTTTTATCATTTTCAAGTGCAGTAATAAAGCAAGGAAGCAATAAATAAAGCATTCTCTGTGGAAGAAGAACAATTTGATTACATTGGAATGAATCCCCGTGATTTTTGTATCCCGAAAGCAGATGCCTTGTTTTGTGAGTTTTCGATTCTGTGCGCTCTGTCACTGTGGAAAACGTGACAAGATTGCTTATTCTCCTCCTTTTCTTTACAGATGAAATCAAAGCAGAACTGGAAAAACAAAGGTATGTCATTTTTGGACATTGAAATGCTATTTTTGTAACCAATTACGCTTGAATTCGAAATAATTTCAGTGCCCTGGTCCTTTCGTTTCTGTTTCCAGCCATTGTTAAGCGCAAGCAGGTCGCGTGCTTTTTTAAGACGCTTTTTAGAGCATATAATTCTAGTAGAATGCACTACAGAAAGGATTTCTGTAATGTCTATTGATGCTCACTCTAGCTTTCAGATCTGACCACAAGTGTTCAGATTTTTATGTGCATTATAGCCATGCTCTTGACTGGCCATCCAGGTGCCTGGGGGCAGAACTGTTTTTCACAACAAAGCCACACCTGGTGTGTTGTTCCCTGATTTAAGACTGGCTGGAGGTGCCAGACAGTGGTCGTGGGTACACCACGGTGGTGTTGTTGGGATCATCGAGGATCGTGTTGTTCTGGGTGTCCATGGACTGGTTGATAGATTTCACTGCCTAGTTTTTTTCAATGCATTTGCCATCAGATTGTGTCTGGTTCGATGCCCCAAAGGCACATTGTTTAAGATGATAAGGGTGGTATATTCACCTTTATCCAAGGATTTTAGTTGTCCAGGTGTAACTCTTCAAAATGGCTTGGGAGTTTAAAAGAAACATCCTGGTGTCGTAAGTGGGAATGCGGGCTCGGGCTTCATTTTTCCCTGTTCTCTCCTCAGGGATGGCAGTGTGGTTCCACCTAAAGCTAACTACATCGAAGCAGATAAGTATGTGCTGCCATTCGAGCTGGCCTGCCAATCGAAATCCCCACGTGTGGTCAGCACCTCCCTGGACTGCTTGCAGGTAGTGCCCAACGTCTCTCCTAAATCAGTTGACGTAGTTTTCATCTGTCATTTCCCCACCTAAGGGGCTTATAGCCATCTGAGAGAAGAAACTTGTACTTGCCGTGTTTGTTGACGATCTTTTGGTTGGGTTTGCGTTCTGATTGAACGATGTTTCGTTGTGATACAGGTCTTGTCAACTGCATTGTCACCCAGCTGAACATTTATAAGTCATTAACCCTACTTTCTCAGTCAGCCTCTTGGGGTCTTGGGGATACTAATAATAACAACACAATCGCATGTGACTTTTATAGTATTCTATCAACTGGGCTACGTGCTGATCTGAGACTCGAGTACAGTGGTGCGGAGCACGTATTGGAAAGTTACTTATAAAGACTCATGCATGTTTTTTAAAAATCTTTTTCTCTTACGAACTGCTATAAACCTTCTGTCTCTCCTCCTCCCCCTCTACAGAAGCTGATTGCTTATGGCCACATAACAGGCAATGCTCCTGACAGTGGGGCGCCAGGCAAACGCCTCATAGACCGGATTGTGGAAACTGTCTGTAACTGCTTCCAGGGGCCGCAGACAGATGAAGGGGTCCAGTTACAGATAATTAAGGTATTTCTGCTTAATTTTTCCTGTACTGCTTTACAGTATGTTCTTTCTAACACTGCTAGTTTCTTAAAGCAAATAGCTGAAAAATGTGTCATCACACATGGACACTTGCTGCTGCAGCTGCTTGTGAACTGTGTGATGAGTCGTCTTTTTTCATTGTTTACATGGGAATGTACGTTAATTAAAAGAGAGAGGGAGAGTTTCATGGTAACGGTACAGTATCCATAAATATCCATTAAAATGCCATAATATTAATTTAACATATGATTGTTGAACAAAAAAAACAATTCCCCAGATATCCTAAATTGGGGATGTAGTCTGTCCTGATTTCTACTTCTCCTGAGCTCAACTGTCGATTTCTGGAGTGTTTTGTCAACCCCCTTAGTATAAGTTAGCAGCTTTCTGGTGTTTTAACCACTAAACATGTCCATCAACAAACAGTGTCTCAGTATAGCCATCAGCGTGCTTTCTGAGCCATTGAGATAGTGCTCAGTACAAGAGAGATTTCCGTCTCATACGCAGTTGAAGTCTTTTTAAACACACTGGATTAATAAATAAATATATTTATTATTCCCAAATATTAATGTTGTGTCTGCCACCTCATGCCCACGCGAACAGGACGTTTTGTAGCGAGTGTTTTTCCTTCTGCAGGCCCTTCTCACCACGGTGACGTCTCCCCACATCGAGATCCACGAAGGGACCATTTTGATGACCGTGCGGACGTGCTACAACATCTACCTGGCCAGTAAGAACCTCATCAACCAGACCACAGCCAAGGCCACGCTGACCCAGATGCTCAACGTCATCTTCGCCCGGATGGAGAGCCAGGCAGTGAGTCACCGTGCTGAGGCCCATGTGGCACGTTGCTGTCGTGCACCTTGCTTTGCAAGAAACCAACTATGCAGCTTGTGGCTCAGTAATACCTTGCCGTTTGTAAAGCACTTTTCATGTCCCAGGATCCTGAACCTTCACATACAGGGGTGTGTTCACTGGGTGGCACATTGGCACAGAGCTGGGGCCCAGGGTTCAGTTCTTGGGGTGCTATCTGTGTGGAGTTTTTATGTCTTCCCCGTGTTCATATATGTTTCTTCTGGGTTTCCTCTCACAATTCAGAAATAGGAAAACTGGCCCTGCTGTGAGTGTGTATGTGTTTGTGTCTGTCTGCCCTGCGATGGACTGGCATCCCGTATATTCTGTATCCTGCCTTTTGCCCATTTCTTTGCAAAGCAGGTGGAGAATGGATGGATGGAAGGAGTGTGCATCATTTAAAAAAAATATTCTTTTCACCAATATCTTATGTGTAGTATAATTTACAAATTGTATACACTGTGCATGGTTTTTACGCTATGCACAACATAAGCTTTCGACTCGCGGGTTTGTATAGGAAAGGTTAACTCAGTGTTGTTTTGGTTGTGTTGCATACTTGTTACTATAATGTAATACAGTAGGGTCTCGACATCTGCAAATTTAACATTTGCGAATTTGCTTATTTGATTTGGTCTAGCCGTCTGGCTTAAAGCCAGAGCATTAGTACCTTAATTATCATATGAGAGAGAGTTTCTTATGTCTTTTGACCATATGTACTATATACTGTAGTACATTATGAGATGGACTTGGTTAACACTTAACTCTCCGCGGCACAGTGAAGTTGATTAATTTTTCATTCTCTATGGATTGGGATGCATCCCTGAAAAGCCGATGTTTGTTCTAATTAAATGGGATTTGTAATTTTCAAATGAAGATGCAGTGCAAACAGAAAGCAGTGTGTGCTAAGTGCTGACAAAAAAGCATTGAATCTTTAATATTTTCAAAAATGTTTGAAACAGCAGGAACCATGTCACCCTTGAGATCAATGACATTTCAATTTTAAGATTCTGAGACATGTACATGAAGCTGTATTGGCCAACGAGGAATAATTAAAAAAAAAACCTGCAGCCATAAATGCATCTAGTGTTCCACCTTAAACATGAAGGTGCTTTGATAAATTTGACATGCTTGTGTTAGATATTTCATGTGAGATCTGCAGTTGAGTGGTTCTTGAAAGGCTGAGCCTTGTTACCATGAGATTGCCAGCACAAGCCTTGACTTTTACTTTTCGAGGTGTAACTAAAGGTATTTAGCATCAGAGTTATTAAAATATCTTCTGTTCAGGTCTGTGGTTGAGGTGTAAAGCTGAGCTCCAGTTGTAAGTGAGCCTACAGTAACAGTTGTTGATACAGAGTTGATGCTCTGCTCGTTTTAATGGTTTGTGAAGGTTCCTAGGGCATCCTGTCCAAATTCACCCCTGGCCTTTACCAATCATGGCCTCCTAATAATCCCCATCTATGAACTGGCTTCATCTCTCTACTCTCCTGCTCACTAATAGCTGATGTGTGGTGAACGTACTGAGTGTCGTCGCATCATCCAGGTGGGGCTGCATTGGTGGTGGTAGTGGGATTCTCCATTACCTGTCAAGTACATTGATTGGGGTGTCCAGAAAAGAGCTGTATAAGTGTAAGGAATTATTATTGTTATAGAAATGGTGCTGAGAGAAGGCCCGCACTTGCTCACATTGGTTCTCCTGTCCTTTCCCCCTGTGCCAGACCCTGGAAACCCGTGAGCTGGAGAAGGCGAGACACTGGCAGCACCAAGCACGGCAGTCGCCCGTCCCTGCGGCTCCCGCTGGCTCTCCCAGGCTCGACGCCCCTGTGCACCCGGAGCACCGGCAGCCTCCCGAGCCGCAGAGCGAGCCCGCGCCCGACGCCCAGCTGCCCGCAGGGGGATCCTCGGAGCATCTCAACGGAGAGCCGGTAGAAGGCAGCCCGGGGACTGGCGAGGCCCAGGACCGGACCTCTGATCCGTCCCAAGGCATGTGTATAATCACCGGCCCACAGCTTCCAGCTCTGGATCCTAAACCTTAGAGCCACTCCAGCAAGTGTTTGGAAACTGGGGATCAGTTTCATAAGCCTTTTACCCCGCTGGGCACAATCCTAGCACTCACAAATACTCAAACAGCTATGCTTAATTTGACTTTTTTCCATGATTGAGAAGCAGTTTCTACAGGTTTCCTAAATCAGGTTACCCATACAAGTGGAAACATACTTTCGTGTTTTTTCTTCCATTTTATTGAACTGGATTTAGTAGCGATTCTGTCTTAAGCAGGTTAATCAATGTTGTAAACAGTGCAGTGCTCATATGGATTTTCTTTTTTTTTCTTGTCCTTTATTGTGTGATAATTAGCAGGTCTGATTAAACAACTAAGGATCTGATTGTGTTAAAGTTTTACGGAGGAGCAAATTGAAAGGGATTGGACTAGATATTGTTTAGAATATAGATCGCTTTAGCTGGGTCACACTTTGCCCTGTTAGCGATTAAATCCTGATAATTTATTATGACAGTACACAAGGGTTAGGATTTATTCCTAGCTGAAGTTCATCTTGTTCTTCCCAGAAAATGCTGAGGTTCCTAAGACAGAACCACATGCTTCCGCAGAGCCTGCAGGGGAGGTACAGGAATCTGATCCAGTGCCTGGAAAAGGTAAGTAAGAAAATAAGGAAAAGCTAGAATAAAATAAGGAAAAGCTAGAATGAGGACAAAGTTGATTATTTTATTGAGTCAATTTCGTGGTATTTCACTAAGTTATTTATTTTGGGAGAACTATGAAAAATAACTCCCCACGTTTGGCTTGATCATGTGTTCCATACATTGAGGAGTCTCCACTATATAGTGTTTTCTGGTGTCAGTTAAGGGGTGTGTTTTCAGCAAATTCCCAATTATGCCTGTGATTCTTCTTGATCAAGCCAGGAGTACCCCTGCTTGCTTTAAATGGAGGGGATGGTACTCTTGGCTGTTCCAAATCCTTAGGCCAGAGTTCTGTAAAATGTAAAACATTAATCCTGTTTGCTCTCTATATTACTCCCATTTTGTTTTTGTTTTTGTAATTGGCACATGGCATTGTTTGTGTTTTGAGTGTGTTACTTGTCATAGAGACTCTCAGACTGCAAGGTAGCATCAGAAGTATAACCTTGCTACCTTGACCAGTTCAGATGGTGGTATCTCATTTATCAAAAAGGCATCTTCAGTACCCACACAGTATTTTGTTTGCCTAATATTCTCTCTGCATGGCGTTCATGCTGGAGCAGTATTGTTAAAGCAATATACTGGAGGGAAATCTGGTGCAAAAAACTGCAGTTCAGAGCATGTTAGGCCATTGTATAATAATTTTATACTCCAGAACATTATCATAAAGTCACATTCTCTTCACAATCAGTATTCAATGCAGACTCGTGAGCCATAAAAAAATTAAAAATTAAGTTTAGCAATAACCTAAAATATTTTTAGTAGTATGCTATAATTTCTGACTTGCCAAAGGAAGGTGATTTTTCCTGCCAGGTAAAAATAACAGGCAGTTGTAGGATGGATTGGTTACCTTCATTTTCAGTTTTTTTGAAGAGACAGTTTAATTGCACTTTCATAATGCTAATGATGTACAGAAAAATCTGCAATCCAGGTTCTAATCTGTCAGCATCTGTAATTTTTGCATTGTATTCAAGAAAACTGCAAAAGACATCTCGTATATCCTGCATTGAAGAAATTCAACTCATTGTACTCGTTAGGCTAAGCCTTAGACTAGCTAGAAACAAATGCCAAGAAGGGGAATTGTACTTGAATTGCGCTCCTGGTTCTATACTTTACAGATGCCGAAGAGCCATTGGGTGACAGTGAGCAGCAGGTCTCAGAAAGCAAGGACCTCAGGCCTCCTTCCGACAGAACAGAAACTGCACAAACTAATGGCATTGTCGACGACCGGGCGTCAGTCTCCTCTACTGACATTTTGGTATGGCATCCTTAGCTCCTGGTGTAGTCGGCGCCATCTTTCTATGCCTGGCATGCACTTCTTGTTCTTTTGTACTTTGAAAAGGATGGATTTGTCAGTAGATGTTAGTCGATTTCCATGCTCTGAAGTTAAAGGGAAGGATTGGTGGAAAACGCATCAGCCGGCACATCTGAAAGGGTACAGTTGTCATCTGTTAATGAGCTCGTTGTGGTGGACAAATCTTCAACCTTGGAAGTATTTCCTTTAAACAACCTCTGAAGGAATGAGGCCGCTTGTCTAATTAATTGTTGTGTTTGCACTGGGCGGAGAGGTGGCTCTGTGGCTAAGGATCTGCGCCTGTGACTGGAAGGTCGCCGGTTCAAATCCTGCAGCTGGCAGAGGAATCCTACTCCGTTGGGCCTCTGAGCAAGGCCCTTAACCCCAACTGCTCCAGGGGCGCCGTACAATGGCTGACCCTGCGCTCTGACCCCCAGCTTCTCTCCCTGTCTGTGTGTCTGTGTCTCCATGGAGAAAAGCTGGGGTATGCGAAAAGACGAATTCCTAATGCAAGAAATTGTATAGGGCTTATACAGAGACATTATTATTATTATTATTATTATTATTATTATTATTATTATTATTACCTCCAGGTCTTTCAGGTTATATTCAGTGTTGGTCCAAGGCTTAACAGCTCGATGCCTTAAGAAAGATGAGAACTCAGCCTCCCGGCAAGGTGCCCACAGCACTGTCTAAAAACATGTTTCTGGTTTTCTGCACTTAATGATGCATGCAAGCTGCAAGAAATATGCATATCATTTAACAAATCATCTTTCAAAAGGCACTGAATCAACTGTGTAATTAAGATAAAGAAATCACTTCATTTGCAATCATCCGTCCATCTGTTTTTTCTAACTGCTTCATTCAATTCACTGGGGAGCCGGAGCCTGCCCTGGCAGGCAGCAGGCACAACGCAGGGCACACGCACACACACCAGGGCCAGTTTTCCCCGAAGCCAATTAACCTCCCAGTATGTACTTGGACTGTGGGAGGAAATTTGAAAGTGGGCTTGAAAGTGCACAACTTTATTTTAACAACAAAGCAAAATGTTCTTTTCATCCAACAAGGTTTTGGTGTTATGACCGCTGGTCCAGTGCAGTCTGTCTTTTTTTTTTTTACTTTTCTGTTGAATAAAAGTCAACCTAATAACCATTGAACATCAGTCTAACATACTGTATATCACTCTAACATAATGTAACTCTAATATACAGGATTGAGTTACATTAATGCTGACTGCTGCTTTTATGAAGAGATGCTCACTGTGATTCATATGTTGTAGGATATAATTTTAAAGTATTTCATTCATTTGACTGAATTCATTTTATGCATGACTTCTATAAACTCACAATGTTTGTGGTGCAACAATGAAGCAGAGAGCGCTACCCATATTGCAGGATCACCCTAATGTATCATATTGTACAGAGAAACAAAAACACAAAGCCACAGAGGTCATTGTGAATATAATAATAATTGCTTACACTTATATAGCGCTTTTCTGGACACTCCACTCAAAGCACTTTACAGGTAATGGGGACTCCCCTCCACCACCACCAATGTGCAGCATCCGTCTTAATATGATGAAGGGTTATAACATACAGTTCTGAATTAATGGGAGTGGAACAGAATAACACAAAGACCCCATGGTGTCAAGTAGCTGCACTGCTGCTGCTAGGAGTTTGCATGCCACAACGCAGAGACAGAGAGGAAGCCCAGACAGCAGAGTTTAGAGAGGACATTTAAAGGTGTTAAGATGTTAAGGAGCTGTCCTGAAGCCTGTAGGTGTCCATTTCATTAGAGATTGATAAAACGGAGCTAAGGGAAGACACAATGAGCCCAGCGATGTAACTCAAGAGGAAGTATAGGGAGATAGCACAGTGTTGTAGCTGGACTAATGAACTGCATGGTGAATCAGACTATGATGAAGAACAGACCTGGGTCTGGATCTCACGTGGGGAGATGCAATTGGTTAAATACATTGCTTTATCCTCGCACCACATACTCACTTGTGGACTACTGGTCCAGATTGTCAGCTTGGTAGTGAATTTTGGATCCCATACACGCTTCCAGCTGTCTGGTGCGATCTGGCAATGCAATGTTTTGCATATCTCTTCCTAGGACACGGATGCAGCGCACGGCCCTCCTACAGCCAGATTCTCCCACATCCTGCAGAAAGATGCCTTCCTCGTCTTCCGATCTCTCTGCAAGCTCTCCATGAAGCCGCTGGCTGACGGACCCCCAGACCCAAGGTAGGATTGAAGAACAGCTGTGCCTCTACATAGATAGGATCAGATCCTTTCCTTCTTTATACTCCAGGGTTTTTACTGAGGCTGGCTCTGAAAGATGTTTACACTAACACAGAAAGAAAGCATAAAAATACAAGATTCTGTTAATGGAAAAACAACTTAATATAACTTTCTTGAAGTATGCTCCTACTAAACACAGGCTATCATACTATAACAGACAGGACCTGTCGTGTTATAAATCCTGTTTTTTTTTTTAAAGAATACAAAATGTTTCACATAAAACTTTATCAACCACATATTTTTTAATGATGATTCTGTGTCATTATGGTTTATCCTGTTCGCTATTCCGCATTTCAAAAAATATTTTTCTGAATTAGCGAGTTTGTTAAAAGTGCATGTTAAATTCCTATTTCGTTTCTGGAAGTTGAATGTGACAGTTTGGAGTTAACTTTTGTTTTTGTAAGACCAGTTATTAAACATCACCAGTGAGAGGACTGGGTAACTCAATTAATAACCAAAACAAATTATTGAGGATCTTGAACTTAGTAATGATGGGCTGTTTTTCTAAATTCTTGACAAACTTTGATGCTCTATCGCTCAGTTTTTAAGGTAGAAGGATAAGTTAGAACAAGGGCCACCCAGAGTGAAGGGTAATTTGAGGTCATTAAAATTTGATGAAGTATGTAAGAAGAATTTTTAATCTTTAGTCATTATGTGTGTAAACTGCGAGTGATATGTGAGATTTTTATACAATATTTTCATTGTAATTGATGGATGAATGGGAGATTGAATATGTGGATTTTCTTTCTTTTGAATTCCCAACCTTTTAATTCAGTTTGTTTTTTTTTAGTGATCTGAAAACAGTTTTAAGAAGTTTTGCTTAAGCGAGGAGTTCAGTAAAAAGGGTCATTTACTAAAACGGTTTAATAAAGTTAAACACATGACGTGTACTGAAGGAAATGAAAGTTCTTTTGGAGTGAAGAGCAGAAGAGATGGGAACTGGGATTAAGCAGCAGAAACACACAGAAAACCAGTATTAGCACTCCAGGAGGAAGAGCTCCCTCTTCTCCTGCTTCAAAAGTCTTGAAAATCCTCAGCCACCACTGGTTCAGAAACTGATTGAAGAACCTATGTTCTCTTTCAGCCTATGAGAGGAAACTCCTGTGCTTCTCCTTTTTAACTCCTACATAGTCGTGCTGATTTCTGCTGCAAAACTACTGTAGGTAAATGATGGGTGGCTGTCGTTTCAATCATCTGCTTCCTAACCCCTCGGGCCAAAACATTAGGAACGCCCAGTCGAGTGAAGAGACTCTTTTGGTGGCAGGCCATATAGTGCATGGCTGGCTTCTGGAGCTTGAGACAGACTTCTGTCATCTTTGCTGGCCACACAAAATGTCCGTTGAAAACTGGTGAAACGATCAGTTCAGTCTCACACTCCGCTGCACTCGTTACTACCTCAACTAAAGGGAGATCCTGCTGGAGGGATAGGAAGGGATGAGACATGGTTGCATGTATTTGAGACCCTTTCCCAATATTGGCTACAGCGTATTCCTGCTACACTTAAGAAACTGAACACATGGTTTGGTGGGCTTCCAAGTATTTCTCCCAAACCATTCATGCCAAATTTGTTTTGGATGAAAGTTTTCCAACAGCACACAGACCTTTTTTTGTCCAATTGCTCCCAGGTCCCATGAGCTGCGGTCGAAGGTGGTGTCCCTGCAGCTCCTGCTGTCCGTGCTGCAGAGTGCAGGCCCCGTGTTCCGCACTCACGAGATGTTCGTCAATGCCATCAAGCAGTACCTCTGTGTGGCCTTGTCCAAGAACGGGGTCTCCTCCGTGCCTGATGTTTTCGAGCTCTCCTTAGCCATTTTCCTCACACTTCTGTCCAACTTCAAGATTCACCTGAAGATGCAAATTGAGGTATCGAAATGTCCTTTGATTCGTCAGCCTCAAATTCAAATCCCCGCTGGTGTTCTCTATGGGATCCAAGATTTCTTTTTGTACCCTCTAACGATTTCAGAAATGTGCTTGTTTTTAATCATCTCTGCTTGCTTTAGCCCTTGGATGTGCATAGGAGACTGCCTGTTGTGCCTAAATGTTCATCTGGTTTAACCACGAAAGCATAGCGTATAGGAAATTGTATTTTGTAATATAAATCAGATATTGACAGAACACTTGTGTAATATGAATAATGGTCTGATCCAGCTGTTTCCTGAAAGAAGCCAGTGAATCGGCTTCAACCACATTGCTGGGTAGTTTGTTTCATTCTCCCACAGTATCAAACAGTTATCTAAAACTCTTGTTTGTTTTCTATGTCCTTCAGGTTTTCTTCAGAGAGATTTTCTTGACTATCTTAGAGACATCCTCAAGTTCCTTTGAACACAAGTGGATGGTCATTCAGACACTAACCAGGATCTGTGCAGGTAACGGCAAATAAGCCTGTAAGTCTGTTTGTATGGGTAGCAAAAGCTATAATGCTGATTTTCATGGGAATGCACATGAAACCGATATCACGTGCCACTTCTTTACTTGTAAGGTTTGTGGGACAAGGATGTTGTCCCACACTCATGTTGTTGAAGCAGAAACCCTGGCCTCTTGGGGGGAAAAAAACAACCAAATGAACTTTGACTAATTACTATAAAATAAGCTAGATGGGTTGCCCCCTATTTGTAAGCTTATGTTTTTATGTTAAACGAATGTAACACAAGAGCTCTTAAAGCAATGCCATGTAGTTTCTTCTTATGTCCTCTGGTTTGCGTTTTACTGTTCATCCTGAAGTAAACAAGAGGTTCCATTGGGTTGACTTTGTGCTTTTGAGGCTTTTGAATATTTGTATCAGATCCCCTTGTAATCTTTCATGTGGGAAAACTCAAAAGCCTCAGTTCCTTCAGTCTGCAAGTGTGCATCTGCATGGTATTTATCCATAATTCTTTCTGTTACAGATGCCCAGTGTGTAGTGGATATCTATGTGAACTACGATTGCGACTTGAATGCTGCTAATATTTTTGAACGGCTCGTTAATGATCTGTCAAAGATAGCCCAGGGTAGAAGCGGCCAGGAACTGGGAATGACGCCACTACAGGTAGGCACAAGAGCAACCGATACAGTTGCTGGTTATTTGGGGAAAGAGTATGCATTTTCAGGTTATTGAGAATGAAGAGTGAAGTTACCATTTCTTCATCATTTTTTATTGCAGCTCCTATCTGGATGGATTTTTAACCAATTTGCTCATATGTTTGTATTAAATTGTTGAAATCTGTTCCTTTAGCAGACAGCATCCGCGCAGGAATTCTGAATTGTCTGTAGCACTGGGCCTGATGTTAACATGCTTGTTAACATTGTCGATGTGTCACTCTGGAATCTGATAACGGATCAAATGATAAGTACAGAGTTTTGAGAGGGGAATTGCACAGCAACGATAAAAAGCCTTTAAATACCTGATCTGACTAGTTGATTCCTTTGGATGGGAGAGCTGTGCTGTCTATTTTGAGTATCATGTTGAGTTGTCAGGGTGAAATTGGGTAATATGCAAATTTACAGATAAGACATGCAAACATAATTTATGCAAAACTGTAGTTTATGCATTTAGTTTTGATCTCTTCACAGTTTTGAGAGTATTCAGTATGATTAATTAATGCTATGCACAAGCTATGACTTCTTATTTTACAGTAGTTAACTGATTGATTCTATTTTTTAGGCCATGGGCTGTAGAATAGAGTCCCTGGCCCGACAGTTGACATTTAGTTGACTGTTTTCGATCGGTGCTACTGAACCTGCAGATTTTCAACTCCAAGCCATTGAAGGATTTTGCACCTCTAGCCTATGATTTCATTAATGGATCATTAGCGATATCAGTGTAGCAGTTAAAAAATAAGCTTTGCCAGACTCCCGTGTGGTAAGCACAAACAGTGATTCAACTCTTGGTGTAATCCAGGGACTAAACCTCACTATGAGGTGGTGACCTTTAACCTTTTTCTAAGTGAAAACATTAGCTTATGTTTCAATTATCGTTGCAGGAGCTGAGCTTGAGGAAAAAAGGGCTCGAGTGTTTGGTGTCCATTCTGAAGTGCATGGTGGAATGGAGCAAAGACCTGTATGTCAACCCCAATCTTCAGACTAACCTGGGTGAGTAACAGCTCGTCCTGACCTGAGATCCGAGGCCTGATTGGCTTATCACTGTTCACGCCACAGTTCCTTCGTTTAGGCACTTTAATTGTTCTCCGCGAACGGGTCAGACGCGCCGGGAACGTTCGTCATGAACGCCTCGAGTTTGCGCCGGGCCTCGGAGGCAGCGCTCAAACGGTTTGGGGCTGCCATTCGGACTGCTGGCCCCGGGTCCTGACCTCCGGGATGAGGGAGTGTTTTCTGGGAGGGCGGGCTTGATTGTGTCCGTGCCTTCAGGCCAGGAGAAGCCCCCGGAGCAGGAGAGTGGGGAGAGCAGGCCCCTGGAATCGTGTACGCGCCGGGACAGCGTCAGCTCCATGGACTCCACGGTGTCCTCAGGAATCGGCAGCGCCAGCACGCAGGCCTCTCTGGCGGACGACCCCGAGCAGTTTGAGGTCATGAAGCAGCAGAAAGAGATCATTGAGCATGGCATTGAATTGTGAGTGCCCTTCTCGGCACCTACATCGAGTCGCCCTAGAATGAGAGTTACCAGGCCTGGGAACTGAATGAATACTTTATCTGAACCTTTTTTTAAGAATCATATTTGATTTAGTTAGTTTGATTAATATTATTTGGGGGGGGGGATGCATGAAAAATACACTAACGAAACTTTTGCCACAGAAATTTTTATCTTTGAGCTGAAAAACCTCACATTAAAAAAGTGTGGTGGGTGGGATTTTTAGCGCACATGTCGATCTGTCTGAAATAACGCAGCTTCTTCTGTCAGCAGGAGGCGTGCTTACTGTGGGTTACCTTGTTATTGACAGATTCAATAAGAAACCAAAGAGAGGCATTCAGTATCTGCAGGAGCAGGGGATGCTCGGCACGCTGCCCGAGGACATTGCTCAGTTCCTGCATCAAGAGGAACGGCTGGATACAGTGAGTTATCCCAGATTGGACATGCTTTTCCAAAACTGCCCAAGACACAGCATGGATCTGTGCATTAGTCAGTACAACTGTGAGACGGCACTGAGATGGCAAATACCAACATTCATTTTGCAACATTTAGTAAGCAAAGTAATGTAATAAAACAAGTAATATTTGAGTTTTTTGCTGTTGGTATGTAGATGGGCCTGTTACCCATGAGTGCTGTGTTTTTGGATGAGCCTCAGAGGCAACAGAGGATTTAAATACCCATGGTCTATATTCTGAGAGGAATATTGTGTAAATCCAGGGGGTACTTTAGCGAGGACTCTTTTCTTAATACCTCTACTCTTATGAGCAGTGCTGCTGGATATTATTCAACCAAGTGGACAGGACCTTGGTTTAAAGCACGGCATCTGCTTCATAGTGTATCCAGTGACCAAACTGGGGCATTGGTGTGGCCATTCTGATCCAGGAGCAAATGTGCTTCCTTTATGTCCATTAATTCCATTTGCAGTAGCCACCTGGTTTTCTCTGGAAGTCTCCTGTCCCGCACTGACCAGGATGAGGTCCACAGAGGAGGTGGCAATGCTGCTAACACAGGGTGGCCAATGTATGTGCTTGAAAATCCAGCTGAACTGGAGCTGGTTACAGAGCTTTTCTGTCTATGCAGGACCAGACTTGGGGACTCTTGATCTAAGGGTTCTTGGGTTTGGGAGAGTTGTCCGTCTCCAGGCTGGCCTAGAAACTCCATCCTTCCACTTTCATCTTGATGTGCGAATGCTGTCAATAGGCCAGGCAGGCTGTGTCAAGTTAGACTCCTCAGCTCCCAGAAATCCATTCCTGGAAGCAGTGTGACGATTGCAGTCAATGCCGGTCAACCCTTATCAGTTGGTTTTGTTCCTGACCGTGTGCAGAATGGGATGCTTTCAGCTTGTGTTCTCCCCTCAGACCCAGGTGGGAGAGTTTCTGGGGGAAAACATCCGCTTCAACAAGGAGGTGATGTACTCCTATGTGGACCAGCTGGATTTCTGCGGCAAGGACTTCGTCTCAGCGCTCCGGATATTCCTGGAGGGCTTCCGGCTGCCTGGAGAAGCACAAAAAATCGACAGGCTGATGGAGAAATTTGCTGCCAGATATCTGGAGTGCAATCAGGGGTAACACGACCCTCCTGCATACAAATCGGCCACTTTGTTTCCAGAGCATTCAAGAGTCTTACCAAGTCGCAGTTGCTGATTGATGTGATCCCCATAACAGTGGAGAATTATACACTCAAATGGCAAACTGCAAACATTTTTAATATGATTGTTCTGGTTATAATGCCAACTGGATTCTCTCCAGGTTGTACCCTGCCTTCTGCCCGTTGCTTGCCCGTTGAAGTTTTCTGGTGGCTCCATTTGCCCTGTAAAGCACAGTGTCATTTTTCTAGATGACGGTTCTCTCTTCGTGCTGATCCATGAGCGCAGATATAACTGTCCCTGTTAAAGGTCATGTGTTTCCTTCTTCAACAGGCAAACCCTGTTTGCAAGCGCGGACACAGCGTATGTTTTGGCCTATTCCATCATCATGTTGACCACAGACCTTCACAGTCCTCAGGTATGACCTTAAATAAACCCTTTCCTGATAAAGGGGCCGTGATAGATGGGAGAGGACTTCAAGAAGACACACAATGAAGAAAAGTTGTACTGACTGAGAAATTTCATTAAAAGAATCTCTGAGATCAGAAGTTTGGAGTTGTGCCTGCATTAACATTCGAAGGTCCCACATTTAATTTGGTTTTATTTGCAGATAGTTGCAGGGTGTCTGTTTCAAAGGATGCCTGTATAGTTCCTTAACTTAATCTCCAGTGCTGCTACAGGAGCTGTGGTGTTGGGCAGCACTGTCCAGCTGCTGATGGAAAAATGCAATTATAAATTTAAAAAGGGAAAAAACAAAAGCCAAATGTTTGGTGTTAACCCAGGCTTCAGTGTCAGCGAGTGTCTCTTTGGCCTGCAAACCTTCCCAGCAACTCAAAGCCAGCGCTCAGATGGGAAGATTAAGCCATTGTTAGCATTTGATATTCTATCCAAAAGGTAACTGGATCTGGAGTGCAGTAGATAACAGAGATTGACTCATGATTGTATCAAACTATGAAAGTCTAGATCTAAGAGAAATAGTATATTTTATTTTGAGTAACTGAAGTGTAATTGATCAACTAAATGGATCAGCTATGAAATCAAGATTAGAATGTAGTTTATTAAGGGTGAGGAATTATCTAGATCAGTTTGATACCTTTCACTGATACAGCAGATCAAACCAGTCTATTGTGATTGGGTCCTCAGAAGAAAGGTGCTTGGGTTTGTTTTAAAACAAAGTTTTTGGGGGGATGATTTTTTTCCCTGTTTTTACATCACCCAGGTGAAAAACAAAATGACCAAGGAGCAGTACATCAAGATGAATCGAGGGATCAACGATAGCAAGGATCTGCCCGAGGAGAATCTGTCTGCAATATATGACGAGATTGCTGGAAAAAAGATTGCCATGAAGGAAAGCAAAGAGTATTCCATCACGCCCAAATCCAACAAGCAGAGTGAGTTTGAAACCGATTAAGCTGCTTACAGTAGGTGTTACACACAGAGATTAAAGTTATAGCGCAAACAAGTAGTTTGATTTCCTTTGTGAATGTAATAAGGTTCACATAAGAAGCTCGATTTCAGCTTGAAAATTTATAATCTGTCACTTTTTCAGTTACTGTTGGTTACTTTTCCTGGGTGAAAAGTCCCCAGCTTCACTCACACATTTGTGATGTATTCATGGCACCAGAGAAAATCTGCATACTCTAAAACATGCATCACCAAGCCTCAGTCTGCTCCTGTTCACTGCTGTGCTGCAAGATGAGCTGTAGGGAGATGAGTCAAAGTTAGTGCAGCCTCAGGCTTGTCCTACCTGCTAGTTCTGGTTTTTCAGCATTGGGTAAGCAACCCTCCACACATGACCACAGTGGTAACTCCCTAGTTTCACAGCAGGTGGTGGAAAGTCTCCTTTGCCTAACTCTCACTTACTGTACTTGCCTTCCTCTTCTAACTTCTTCTGCTGTTAGAAGATGTTTTTTAGAACCGTAACTGTGTTCTTCACCCACAATGCGGTTATACTTGTGTTGAAATGTGAAAATGCAATCAATACACTTGGAACCTACTGACAAATTATCTGTACCTTTTGAACTTTATTCAAATGTAGTTGTGGTAGCTGTTCCTTAGCTCAAAGGTTGCCAAAGAAGTATATTAAAAAAACCAAACATATGCTTGAGACATTAATCGAGTTAAATTAGATCCCTGAAAAAAAAATAGCAAATATTTCCAGATGTGAGTCTTTGTATATAAATCAGTTGTGAGTCTATATTGGATGTGATTCAAATACAAATGATTTGGGATCTCTTGGCCAAGAGATGAACATGGGGCTAAAATGTCTCTGCTTGCTTTTATGTAAAAAAAAACCCAAAAAGTGATGATAGACTGGGCAGAACTCCAGAAAGGGAAAGAGGAAAGGATCTCAGTTCAGTCTGCAACAGATGTGTCCTCATTTCCTGCTCCTAGGCAACAATGTGTGCATTTCATCAATTATCCGACTGTACCAGCGTCTCTTCATCCTGATTAGAATAGGGTTTTTAAATGGTGAATATGTTATGCCATCTCCAACTTTGATCAAAAAATGTTTTAAAAGGCACTTTCAAAAAGGTTATGGAATATGCAGATAAAATTCTTCTAAAATATGTTAATGGGAAAAGCAAAAGTTGAGGTTTTGTCACCCACCAGAGAATTTAATTTTTTAAGCCTGTTATCAAGACAGACTTTTAGGAGCTCAGGTTTACGGGGACAGGATAAGTTCCGAGTCAACAGCAGTAATTGTGTCCCAGGGGTCAGTGTGAGGAGCTAGGTGCTGTTGGATGTGAGGTAAGAGAGTACCTGGGTGAGGTGTATCTTTCTTTTACGGGTGGCACGGAAATCTCTGAACTCGCCTTCCACGCATATCTCGGCGGACCCGATTCCAGCGACGGCACAGCGGGCAATTAAAAGCCGGGAAACGATCGGTTCACTCCTGCCGCGCGTTCTCCCCCCCAGACGTGGCCAGCGAGAAGCAGAGGAGGCTGCTTTACAACCTGGAGATGGAGCAGATGGCGAAGACGGCCAAGGCCCTGATGGAGGCAGTGAGCCATGCGCAGGCGCCCTTCACCAGTGCCACCCACCTGGAGCACGTCAGGCCCATGTTCAAGGTCAGCACCTCCGGCTGGGGCACGGAGCACCCGGGCTCCACCCACGCCTCCCCAGCAACCAGCACACTTAATGCCAGCCCTGTCTACACCTTAATATCAATCTCTTCTGTGTCTTGGCTTTTTGGTTTTTACTTTGTCTTCATTTAACGTCCAGGGTCCCAGCCCCACTCTGCTAACCTCAGCTTTGGTAACTTGTGTGGCCCCACGCTTATTCCAGCTGCAGTCCGCGCCGTCTTGCAGCTGTGCTCCCATCGGGCTAACAGCTGTCCTTCCCGCAGCTCGCCTGGACCCCTCTCCTGGCCGCCTTCAGCATCGGTCTGCAGGACTGTGACGACCAGGAGGTGGCGTCGCTTTGCCTGGAGGGAATCCGGTGTGCCGTGAGGATTGCCTCCATATTTGGTATGCAGGTAAGGACATTTGCTGTTTCTGTCTCGTGCAAGCGTTAAAGACTGCTATTTTGTGAGCTACGTGTGGCACATCTCCAGTGTGAGACTGACCTTTTCATGTTTCTGACCAATCCCATTTTGAACTGTAAAACGGTGTTTTCTGAAGTATGCGTGCAGCCATGTGCCTGAGTCACAAGTCACCTTTTTCCTCTGTTTTGTCGCAGAAAGGTGAAATCATGGCTCTTGTTTAATACCAGGTATTTTTAGGTTGGCAGTAGCTTTTATTGATTTTGTCCATGAGTCTGAGGATAACAAGCTTGTGAAAAGTGGCACAAAGCATCAATAATGATAACAGTGTGACAGTGACACTGTGTTTAATGACTCATCCAATGGCACCATACTCCCATTTATTAACGTATTATGGCACTGAGTGAGAATTCCTGACACCTTCTAGCAGTAACATGGTTTTCTTCTAACACATCTCATCCAGTACTTAGCATGACTTAATTTTTTGAGATCTGAAGAGACCAAAGGATAAGATAATTTAGCTGCTGGCTAGGCTACAGTATCTGTGTGACACTTTTGGGAATAAGTCTTTAGAACATAATCTTCACTCTGTTTTAAATGTAAGCATGTGCTTCATGTTAGTGTGTATTATAGAACAAGCAGTCTCCAGAGTTAATCTTACTGCTTTATGGGTGATCTTGATAATTCTGTGCTTATAGTCCAGACACCGATATGTTCCATAAAATGTCACAACTGTGTCAGTTTTCCTATAGTCAAGCAAAGCTGCAAGATGAAGGAACACTACTCTGAACAGCAAAAAGAATTTGAAAATATGCAGTGAATGTTTTCGTCTTGTACCGTTTCAATGTTTTTTTTTTTGTTTCTTCGTGCTTGACAGTATGTATAATTCTGTCGTTTCCTTTTTTTTTTGTGTGGTATTTTTGGGCGCGTCCAGCTCGAGAGAGACGCCTACGTTCAGGCTCTGGCTCGTTTTACGCTGCTCACGGCCAGCTCCAGCATCACCGAGATGAAACAGAAGAACATCGACACCATCAAGACGCTGATCACTGTGGCGCACACCGACGGGAACTACCTGGGAAACTCCTGGCATGAGGTGAGGGGTGAGGCGAGGGGCTGCTTGCCACTGCCTGCAGGCGTAGCCTAGCTTAATGTTGAAAAATACCTTGTGTGCCACCTGCAAGAAGAACTATCGGGAATAGTGTTACTCTTCCTCAATATACTCTGTTATCCTAGGAGCAAGTCCTTTATGATTTTGCATACTATGATTTTTATATGACTATTATTGTAGAAATATTTATTTGTAATGCGACTCCTTTCACAAACTGCAAAAATAAATGTTAGTAGTACAATGAGTTGGCTACCAGTGAGGATAAAAAGCCAAGTGCACATTCTACCCTGTTCATACTCCTCCTTCAGCGGGGCGGGCTTTTCTTCCTGTTAGTCGTCGGGGTGTGGCTGAGCTGGTGTTTCTACAACGAGCCGAAGCCGCGTTCTCATGCTGGTGGGTTCTCGTGCTGGTTCGCCTGCAGATCCTGCGGTGCATCAGCCAGCTGGAACTGGCGCAGCTGATTGGGACGGGCGTCAAGACCCGCTACATCTCCGGCATGGTGCGGGAGAGAGAGGCCAGCATCAAGGGCTTCCCATCGGGCTCAGAGGAGTTCATGCCTTTGGGCCTAGGTAGGAGCATAAAACATCAGGCTTTGTTAACCTCTCATATTGCACTTAAGTGGCTGCTCGTACCAGCTTAGCTTAACGCTTATTGATCAGGGGTTAGAGAGTGATGAATATGTCTCGGTGCGCTGGCATTTGGTTGAAAGGGAGTGTCTACCAGGCTACTGACGTTTAGTCATCAGTGGTTGTGGGAGAAACTGCCATCTTTTTTTCGACCCTTTGGCAGTACCTATAAATGGAAGTTTTCCTGCGGCTGTGAGTGGCGTTGGACAGACAGCAGCCTTGGAGATCATTCATCGTACAGATCTGTCGTCTTTAATCAGCAGTCGCGCTGGGTTTCTAACTTGCTAAATCCCAAGCCGTAACATATGTTTTAAAACTCATTATGTTGTGGACGGTGAAAACAATATTACGCATTGTTGAAATGATTGCAGCATCTCATGGTAATGTATACTTTAGTGATCTTGCAAGTGACATTTAATATTGTGGGAATTTCCCTTTTTCCCCAGGGAATCTTGTAGGGGGTCCGGATAAGAGGCAGATGGCCAGTATTCAGGAGTCAGTAGGAGAGACCAGCTCACAGAGTGTAGTTGTGGCTGTGGACAGGTATTGATGTTTTAAAACTTTAAACATGAAAGCAAGGAATCTGATCAAACTTAAGTAATAAAAACAGTTTTGCTCATTTCAGCTTTCAATACTGATGCAGCAGAAGTGAAAAATATTCTATAATATTGTAACTTTGCTCATATCTGTGCTAAACAACAGGCAAGATGTGAAATGGTCAGTGTCATGTTTTATTATATGAAGGCCACAATAAATCTGAATTATACAGTATGTGTACATAGTCTGTGCCTTGTGAGTCTTATCTACCTACCTGTTATTTTAGAAAGTCACTCAGTACAATATAAAGTAAGCAGACCCCTACCAAAATATTAGAGGGTGGCATGCTGGATAGGAGTCCTGTACAGCAGTAGCAGTAGCATGCTGTGCTGTAGGGAAAGAGGCTGATAAAAGTGGCCTCACATGAAACATGGTTGATCTACATGCCTCTGGACCATTGCTGAAGATAACAGACATGCCTAATGTGAAACTCCAGGCAGGATAATGGGTTTACAAGCAGTGATGAGTACATAAACATCGATAGAAAGCACAGTTCAGAAGCTGAAGTGAGCTGCTGTGCATGTCCATGGACATGAACATGCAGATGTCCATGGTGAGCAGAATCAATACCACAAAATATTGTAGCTGATGATAGATCAACCCTCTATTATAGCAGTTCTGTACTTTTCTTTATGTTTTATACACATACTTTGTGTGTGTGTATTAGATATACTGTAGGTACACAGTCTTTACTGCCTATGGAAAGAGTCATGATTTATTGTTTTGTCTTTAAGAATATTCACCGGATCCACGAGACTCGATGGCAATGCAATTGGTATGTATTTTACAATTCAACTCTTAATAAAGGTGAACGTTTACATTTCTTATATAGGCAGGGAGTGAGCTCCAGAGTTGTGGAGCAAGACTGCTGAAAGTGTGCCCTGAGACTCTTGTACCTACAAGAAAATATTACTTAAGGTGTGCTCAGCAGAGTGTAAGGCCCTGCTTTGTACAGGATTAATGAGAGGCACTAAGCATTGCAGTGATTTGCTATGTAGGGCTTTAAGAGTTAAGTCAGATTATGAATTGAAGTTTGTATTGAATTGAAGGAGCCAGTGAAGATGTCCGAATCTGGCGGATGTGGTCACAGAGCCTGTTTGAAGTCAAACAGCCGAGATACAGGTCGTTTGACCATTCTTGACCAAAGAATTTGGCGAGTCTTGTAAATGTAAAGAGGTCAGGATTAAGCTGAGACATTAATCCGCCCTCCACATCACAAATTCAAAAACTGTCCTTGATGTCACTTCTTCATTGGGATAAATGGAAAGCCAGCATTAAGCAATTTATTTTGAAATTTGCTGCTGGTGGCTAGTCGAAAGCTGTGAAGCAGTCCAAGCCTGTTAAGGGCCGCGCTGACTGGCGGTTCTGTGTGTGCCGCAGTTGATTTTGTGCACTGGCTGTGCGCTGTGTCGATGGACGAGCTGGCCTCCCCGCATCACCCTCGCATGTTCAGCCTGCAGAAGATTGTGGAGATCTCGTACTACAACATGAACCGCATCAGGCTGCAGTGGTCCAGGATCTGGCAGGTCATCGGCGATCATTTTAATAAGGTATGTGGGCAGAGTGAGTGACAGCATGTGAGGGCTATCAGTGGACTTGAAGACCTTGTGAGTCTATTCAGAAGAATATTCAGAAAGGAACATCACCACGCTGCCTGCTGGCCAAGTGTCCTGCTTATAACTTGGGATTTTCTAAACATAAACACTCTTTAAAATCTTTAAAAATCATAGTTGCTTTTTAAAATTAAAATGTGCCTTTGGCATTTATTGACCACTTATTATCCATATGTTTATTGCAAGCGTTCTTAAAATAACCTCCATCCATCTTTTGCCTTTTTTGTATGAGAAGATCTTATTAACCATCGATTAATGGTAGTGCTCCTCCAGGACAGATGTTGTCATAGGGTTTTTACCAGGTGTTCATTGACTAAGGCCTCTTCTTGAGTGCTTGGAAGCACAATGCTCCAGTTGTCACACTGTGACCCAGTTGTTTGCATTACTGTGTATTGCGCTGAGCCTCAAGCCCTTTTGTTCATGGACATGTCTGTAAGAGTCCTGTAATGCATGCCAGTTGACAAAAGAGTTGAGATGATTTGCTTGATCATGACGCGGGCCCTTCTCCTTGGTGACCTTTCAGATGTCCTCCTGTAGCGATGGGGGGGGGTTACTGGTTCCGCAGCCGGTCTTTAGTGCTCTTCTGATTTGTCTCCGAGGTTGGCTGCAACCCGAATGAGGATGTGGCCATCTTCGCCGTGGACTCCCTGAGGCAACTGTCCATGAAGTTCTTGGAAAAGGGAGAGCTGGCAAACTTCCGCTTCCAAAAGGACTTCCTCCGGCCCTTTGAGCACATCATGAAGAAAAACAGGTGAAGGGTGCCGGGGGATATCGGCGAGCTGTGTGTGCTGTCTGACATTTTCTTTTTTTTATGTTCTTGCGTTTTGCCTTGCACTGTAGATCTGCTTGTTGAGAGAGGGTGATCAGACAATTGAAGGACAAATTGCAGAGGAGTGTATTGCCATATGAATATGCACACTGGAGTTCTTATTCGTGTCCATCTTTCAGGACATGCACAGCACAACGGATGAGGCAGTACAACAGGCAACACTATGTAATGTAGACAGTTCATTACAAAGCAGTACATAATGAATAGTGATAATATGTACATAAAGTCATTCAATAACTAGAGCAAACAATACGTGGAAGAAGAAAATTGTGGTAGTGAACACCATGGTAGTCCAAATCAAAAGAGCATAGTGCAGAGGGGCATTGAGTTCTGGGGCATTGCAGTTAGCTGTTTATGATGGTGTAAATCTTTGATTGATGGTAAATCACATCCTAGTATCCTCTGTGTCTTTGCCACAACTCTTTGTAGAATGTCTTTGTCATGTACGGTAGTATTGGTGTACTCAAACCACTAGTGACTGTAGACTAGTGAATTGTGACTGTTAACTGGTGTGTATTGTGCAAGGACTACTGAATAGTGTCAATACGGTAAATTTAACATTCACTGGAAATTGGAAGTTGTTCATAACTTACAAACGTGTAATGTCCACTTCAAGACAGTCTCTGGTGAGAAGATGACATTCTAATTCTTGCCTAAAAAAAACATTCTGAATTTTGAAGGTTGTAACGTTGCCTTGTAGGTCTCCTACGATCCGCGATATGGTGATCAGGTGCATCGCCCAGATGGTCAATTCTCAGGCTGCCAATATCCGGTCTGGGTGGAAGAACATCTTCTCCGTCTTCCACCAGGCTGCCTCTGACCACGACGAGACTATAGTGGAGCTGGCCTTCCAGACTACTGGACACATTGTCGGTAATTCGCACACATCGGCCATCGATTGCAATTGTTAAAAAATAATAAATAAAAATAATGAATAAGTCAAAAGATCCAGAAAGCATATAAAGAGTGTATATATATATATTTTCTCGTAGTGTGGTTTTTGGCTGAAAAAATGTCATTTGTGATTGAACAGACATGACAGCCCTTCTCCCTTTACTCTGTTAAACTTGCGGTTTCCTGTATTACATTAAACATTACATGAGGGAAATCTGGAAAGTACTGCTGTTGCTTTGCCATGCCCACAAACACCTACTACAGGAACTTCTAATGCAATGCTGTATTACCCCAAGTGCCTTTAAGGGCTGTATGGAAATGTGTGGATGTAAAGTGTCAGAAACACATGAATGCAATTTCAAAATGCTTTCA